CCCCCCCCCCCCCCCCCCCCCCCCCCCCCCCCCCTATTGATTTTCGGAGGCCTAAGTGTCTGGAGAAAATAACCGGTCTACATTTCAGCACGCTTACCTTAAAAAAATCTGGATCCACCCTTCTAGCCCACAAAAATATAGGTTCTAGAACCGCGCCTGCCCCTCCCCGCCCCTCCACCGCTGGCCTGCAATGATCGAGCACACCATTTCCCCTCAGTTGGACAATCCTAGAGCCGCCACTGGCTCCGTTCACATAACATGTGAAGACGGATATCGATAAACCACAGGAATCGATCAACTTAAACACTGGACCCACATCGAAACATAATAGTAAGATTCATCAAAGAATTTGACTGAGAGGCGATTTGGATCCTAAGGTTCATATCTCGCCGGTCAATTTCTTTGTTCAACCAACACATTGTGTGAATAAAAAAGGAAACAATTTCTAAATTCATCCTGATTGTTCTTTCCTGCTTTCAGGTCATCACGTGACCGGGTTCATCTATAGTAGGGCTTCAATAGGTTCTCCATAGAAGGGGGCCTCATGGGTGTACAGTCATCACGTGACCGGATTTGCCTATAGTAGGGCTTCAATAGGTTCTCCATAGAAGGGGGCCTCATGGGTGTACAGTGATCACGTGACTGGATTCGTCTATAGTAGGGCTTCAATGGGGCCTCGTGGGGTGTACAGTCATCACGTGACCGGATTTGCTATAGTAGGGCTTCAATAGGTTCTCCATAGAAGGGGGCCTCATGGGTGTACATTGATCACGTGACCGGATTCGTCTATAGTAGGGCTTCAATGGGTTCTCCATAGAAGGGGGCCTCATGGGTGTACAGTCATCACGTGACTGGATTCGTCTATAGTAGGGCTTCAATGCACAAACGTAAATCTGCTGAAATTGAAATCAGAAAGCTGTATTTTTACCCGGAAAAGAGCCTTTTGGGCGAAATGTTGAAAAAGAAGAAAATATTTGAAATGACCCTTTTGCAACGTAAGTGAAATTAATGTTCAAGGGTAAATTTGCACGACGATATACCTGCTTCCGCTCGTGTGTGGCGATTCCGCATGTTGGAGCATTCTGATCCAAGTAACTTGGCTGATATATCATCTCACAATTGCCTATCACGAGATGACGTTTCTCCCCCCAACTCAAAAAAAAAACCCAAAATGATTAAAAACGCAAAAGGACAGATATAGTGTTGAAATAAGACGAAAGGGAAGGAAGTGAAGGGCATGAGCGTCGCGAGGAGTGGGGGGGGGGGGGGGAGGGGGAGCACAAAAAAAAAACAAAGAGAGAGAAAGAGGTGCGAAGTCATATTACTGTTAATTGAATGGGTGGAGTGGGCAATGTCCCCTGCCCACCCTCGAAAAAATGATTAATTGAGAATATGCTGGATTTTTTTTTTGGGGGGGGGAATGTGCTTCCCCCCCCCCACTAGAAAGAAATCCTGGCGACGCCCATTGTGAAGGGTGCAACTAAATGCCTACAAGATTTGGCTAATTAAATAAAACACGAATTCCAAATTCGGAAATAGCATGACCGAATTGCGCTGTTCGAAACATTTGAAAATTAAAACATGTATAGTTGTGTACCATGGGCGGCGATCCGGAGCGGGAGGGGGGGCAATGTGTAAAGACCATTCCGAGTACGTCAGCTCCCAGTGGTGGCGAAAGCATTCTGCCGGTTTTTGTACAAAGCTGACGGATTAACTGAACAATAGACGGCACGATGCATTCGCTATTGACGGGTGCCTCCGTGACTGTGCAGTGATAGCGCGCTCCGAGCAGTCTCTATCTTGTTCGGCAGGCGGACCTACCTGTTATCACTATTTTTCCCCATTATGGCTCCGTTATTACGATCATCTGCCACTTTTCAAAGCGTAGCAACTTGCACAGTACTATTTAGGGGATCGGGAATGGGCGTTGTATGCAGATAATTATACAGGGTGAGTTAAAAAGAAAGTAACTTGGATATTTTTTTTCTTAAAAAGCAATCAAATTTGATATTTTCAAAAAGCATGTTTTCCATGCACTCGTCTGAAAAAAAAATACTGAAATAATTGATCCATGCTTGTTATAACTGTCCAGGGAATGCCACTGGAAGCTATTGAGCTGAGTGAAAATTACAGATAAACAGATATATATATATATATATATATATTACAGATATACAGGCATTCAAATACAAATGCGATTTGAGTCAAGACTGAAACATTATTTTTACTACTGTCAGATTTTGTGTTTTGAATAATTATCAAGTCTCTTTTTTCTGAAATATTGATGGTGATTTGTGTCTGTTTTGCTTTGTTTTCGTTGATTCGTGGAGGTGGGAAAACGTCCATGAAGTTTAATTGTATTAGGGAGTCAGGTTGGCGTAGCTGTGCATTTCTCACCTTCCACCGCTGTGACCGGGTCCGAATCCCGCCTGGGCCAATATGTGGATTGGGTTTTCAGTCCCTGCCTGATTCCGTGGGTTTTCCCTAGAATATCTTCTGGGCTTTTTCTTCCACCTCTCGGTAATTTCTTCTCATTGTCTTCTCTCTAAATTGGTGTGATGTTTCCTCCAGGATGCTTTGCCGCCTATATGACACAGAGACAGATGCAGATTTAATTTTCATCAATTCGTAGAACGGTAAATGGTCAGTGGTGGACAGCTGAATTTTGGGATTTTGTTAAAATTAAAATATACATAACTTAGGAATAGTGTATGCAAAGTACGTGAAGTTTTTACAGTTACTAGCCGGTAACATGTACTTTATCCCTGTGTTATTTTTTGTGAAATGTTCTTTTGACTCACCCTGTATGTGCGTGTATTTTCACATACACATGTGTGAACAGCGTCCTCTAGAGTCAGATGGCGTCCAGGGACCCCAGACCCCTTCCCGCGCTTTTCGAATTTGCCAGGCTGCTGGTAAAAATCGCCACTCCAGGTGAGTGTATACGAGTTCAAGGTATCGCGATGTGCAATGTACTACATGACTTTGTTAATAATGGTTTGAGCCCACCCGACTCCCCTTTGAAAGCTTGCGTACGGTACGGGCCGTCGGGCCGGGCCGGTCCACAATGGTTGGACCCTTGCAGCTCGAGTAGTTCACTCAGGGCATGCAGCAACGGGGCAT